AACTAACCCTAACTAACCCTAACTAACTACTAACCCTAAACTAACCCTAACTAACCCTAAAACTAACCCTAACCCTGACCCTAACTAGCCCTAACTAACCCTAACTAACCTTAACTGTATTTTCATCAAGCCTGCCATCCCTGATGTGTAGAGTATTACTCGTCTTCATTTGTCGCCTAATATACTTGCAGAATATTACTGCAAATGTTTTGGTACCTAATTCGTCTCCCAAATATGATATCCCGTCTTTTAACATCAAACGGATGTTATATCCTACTAATATACTAACACTGAAACTAATACCAGTAACTGATTAGCGTCAAATTCAATTCTTCAACACTTTGAGGATCTACCCACACCTCCATCTCCACCTCCATACCTACCTACCTTGTCTCCTACCTCACCTCCTCCCTCAACTCCTACCTCTCCTCCTACCTCACCTTCTAACTCTATCGATACCTACCTCCTGCCTGTATCGACGCCTAGATATGTATTTACCTTCCTCTGCTTTTTGATTGTATACCGACTCCGCTGCAGGCAACAAATTGTCAGTATATGGACGCAGCTGTAGATTCCAAATCATGCAGTATACTATTGACGGTATACTGAGACCACTGGAGGTACCAAGTTGCCAGTATGTTGACGCTGCTGCAGGCACCAAATCGTGAGTATATTGACGCTGTTCGAGGTTTCAAATACTCAGTATATTCACGGTATAATGACGCCGCTGGAGGTACCACATAGTCAGTATATTGCCGCCGCTGAAGGTACCAAATCCTCAGTGTATTGACGCCGTTGGAGTCACAAAATCGTCAGTTTATTGTCGCCGCTGGAGACGTCAAATTCCCAGTATATTCAAGGTATAGTGACACTGCTGCAAGCAACATATCGGCACCTACCGCAGCGAATACTACATATAGCAGCAACCATTACTGCACCCAATGGACACCAACAGGCAGCGAATGCTGCATATGCCAGTTGTCGAATACTGCACAAAATGGACACGGTCAGGCAGTGAATCAACTCCTACCAATCACTCAATACTGCACCAAATGGACACGCTCAGGCAGTGAATCAACTCCTACCAATCACTCAATACTGCACCTACCAGGCAGCGAATACTGCACCAAATGGACACCCCCAGGCAGCGAATTCTGCGCCTACCAGTCAGCAAAACTGCACCATATAGACACCCGCCAGTCACCGACTCGGAATACTAGTCTCAATCGACACCTACCGTGACTAGCTATGGAGCTCAACGGGCAGGAATGTAGGCAGCAGGGAAATCAGCGGACAGGAGGGCAGGAGGGCACGCAGCAGGCAGGCAGCAGGGAGGTCAGCAAGCAGGAGGACAGGAGGGCAAGCAGCAGGGAGGCAGTAGGGAGTTCAGCGGGTACGAGGGCAGCAAGGCAGGTCAGCGGGTAGGAGGACAACAAGCAGGCCAGTAGGTAGAACAGCGAGCAGGAGGACAGCGTCCGGAGCAGGAGTAAGCGGAGGTAGATGGGGTATTTGGGAATACTATGTACACATAATTACGTAGACGTTTGGATCAAGAAACATGATAATTGCATTGAACTGGTTTCATCGTCTATATACCCATTTCCGAGTTACCTCATTCTGACAGCGAATCACTAGCGAAAGCCATTAATTGGGTAAAAGCTACCTAGGTTTGGATATGGTCTTCGTTTTGGGGTCAAAGGACAAGGTCATTTGGTCAAAAGACAACTCCGCGATGAGAACGAAAGAGATGTTCGTATTTTCTTGTCGAGATAATGTCTCCTTGCGCCGAGGCATATCGATGCAGGTAAGAAAACTCCTGTGGCGCCTAGTACGCCCAATGACGCTGGGTTTGCCTGCATATACCTAGGGTCGTCGGTTTGAAACCAATTTTTTGCTGATGAAGAGTTATGCAGCATGCTATAAAATATGTACTGAAAGTTATTTGGATAGATAGACAAATATACAAGAAGTGCGCATAGTTTTTCTTCCATAATATTCAACTTTTGCCGAGTGATTTCATTCTGCTAGCAAAGTCAAGTAACCGACCCAATGGTATCAATATTTAGCACAGGAGATTCTTTTTTGACCCAAAAATGGGTAGGTTGGTCCGTGGTCTCGGGGTATATCGTTGAATATTGGAAACCTATCGTACACTAGTTTCATGGATCGGTTGATAGAGTCGTTAGGTTACGCGGAGTTGGATTAGTCAGGATGTTTCTGTTGCGTTCTATGGGTTTCCGTTCGGTTGCGTGGTGTGAGTCACTTTGGATTAGTCATTGTAGGATTTCCTTGGGCATATTAGAGGGCTCTCCCTCGCTTCGTTTCTGTTTTCCTTTCTCTTCTTCTTTCCTTACGTAACGTCTTCTGTATTCTCTATACTATAACGCTTGTTCATACCTGGCATACCATACCAGGTCGGACCACTTCTGTATCTACGCTGGTTACCAAGATATACGCAGCCATTTCTCTTCTTCACGAAGACCTTTGCACCTCGCTTGACTAACTCGACAGCTACTACTGTCACATATCGTACCCTGAGGAATACTCGCCGTCGCCGCCCCTTGAGACCCTCGCTTCGTTTCTGTTTCCTTCCTCTTCTTCTTTCCATACGCAACGTCTTCTGTATCTCTATACTATAACGCTTGTCCGTACCTGGCATATCATACCAGGTGGGACCACTTCTGTACCTACGCTGATTATCAATACGAACGCCGTTACTTCTCTTCCTTATGAAGATCTTCACACCTCGCTTGACTAACTCGACAGCTACTACTGTCGCACGTCGTACCCTGCGGAATATTCGCTATTGCCGCCCCTTGAGAACTATGTATGCCAGTTCCAACCAGGGGTACCAAGAAGAGAATCCGGTTTTTACTGTTATTGGCTCACCATAGTATATCATAGTAGGGTGAGCCAGTGGAACTGTTTACTTTTAAAGCAATCTATGTATGATTTATATAATATTATAATCCCGAACAATTATATTATTGTCAAAACAGAAACATTACATGATGTTGTAAAACCAATATGATTTATATCTTTTTGTGAAAAACTTTTCGTTAAAAAATATAAAAGTTTTCAAATTTAATATATAAAGGTGGCAACACCCCACTTGTTGTATTCCATGGATAATAGTGAAATCAAACTTGTCTAGATACATCAAAGTTAAAATTTTGATTATTGCTCATAATATGTGAGTGAAATTTCGATTTAAACGAAAACATCACGTATTTTGTTTACTTACTAATTGATATTAGAGTTATGAATCCCCAAAACCGTCCTATGAAAAGTCATACAGCACATCGTCAATATCTTCAACGCCTTCGGAAAAATACTCAACCTCTTTCAAATGAAGAACTACGAAGAATGGAAAGAGATAGGCTATTGGAACAACGTGCAATCCGAGAAAGAGAGCATGACGCACGACTCAAACAAATGAGAATGACACGTGACCAAAACCGTGCAACTGCCTTGAAAACGAAATCTCGATCTAAGGATCAAACATCATTAGACTTGTTGTTGAACTCCAAACAAGAGAGTAATAAATGCTCAAGCACTAAAGTGAATGAAAGTAAAAATCCACCAACTCGTAAAACAAATTTTCAAGTAGTTATATGGGTACCACAATCAAAAGGGCAGATCGATAATGATTCACAATCCTCGAAGATCAATTCAAACGATACAGAGGAATACGAGGACAATTGGGCAGAAGAAAATGCTTTGGATTTGATCTCGCTACTTGATAATATGGAAGAGACTATTGCTCTTAATTAGTTATTATTACCGTTTCATGCAATGATTTATGTATATACTTAACCCTTGTTCTGACACTTAAACGCGGCTATTGATAAGAATTTTTATTATAATTTAGGATAGCTTTATTGATTTCCTTAACTATTCATACGTAATCATTCATAATAGCTTAAATACCTAAATGTTATTTTTCCATTTTCCGTTCATTTTAATTCATGAAATTAATAATGAAGGTGAACGTGACTAGTAAAAAAAATTGATAATAATACTAAAATCTCTCATCGTGTCATAATTTGATAATAATTTCATTTTTGAGCTAAAACAATAATTAATTTAATTAAAAGCAAAACATAAATATTTCGATATCGGGGATAGAAGAAAATATATGTTTCAAAGTAGAATACTTGAAAAATAAATAGAAAGAACGTGAAGCCATGATAACATTCTGATAGAAATCGAAATTAAAATACATAACATCCTTCCCGAAATTCGTTTTCTGTCATAGTCAAGCGGAATGGCTCAGCCTGGTATATCATACCAGGCTGAGCCGTGGAAATATATCGTTGATGGCTCAGCCTAGTATATCATACCAGGCTGAGCCGTGGAAATATATCGTTGATGGCTCAGCCTAGTATATCATACCAGGCTGAGCCGTGGAAATATACGGTTGATGGCTCAGGCTAATATATCATACCAGGCTGAGTCGTGGAAATAAACGGTTGATGGCTCAGCCTAGTATATTATACCAGGCTGAGTCGTGGAAATATACGGTTGATGGCTTAGCCTAGTATACCATACCAGGCTGAGCAATTTAACTAATTTTAAAAACTCAACTAAATATGCCATACCAGGCTGAGTCGTTCAACTATTGTTGATGGCTCAACCTAGTATATAATACCAGACTGAACTATGAAAATATATGTTACGGGAAGTTGAGTGAGACGTTTTAATAAATGAAAGGACAAGTAGCTGGAGAGAACCATAGGAAGATATTAAGTTGGTGTAGGCCAGTTCGTATATGACTAGACCTACACTATACTATTGGGCTGAACACTCTCGAAGTCATGATCACGGCTGCAGTCCTTTCTCCTTTGAGAAGGAGCTCAACAAAGTACTTTAGTACAGCCTGATAGTTGGACTTGGTGAGTCAAAATGATCACGAGTCAAAGAAGGGATTAGACTGAAAGCCAGCTTTAATATGGGTTCCTCAATCTATAAACTTGAATAGAGGGGCGAATTCTTACGAGCTGAGATGAGAATTCACATGAACAGTGAGTGAAATCCGGTGTAAAATATTCGTTGTTTAACAAGCTACAGTACTATTGCTTATCATTACCATATTTTTACGTATTCCATTACCAAACGATGTATAGCTAATACTGGCTTACGATACCTGTCTGAGCCGTTCAACATATTCCAGAGAATGAGAAGTATAAGAAAATTCCTCAATTTTATCTATATATAGAGTACCTATACCCCATATACTCAAACGGTATCAAACAATCAAAACTCATTCGAAACGTTCAACATTTTACATGAAAGGTTTATTTCTAACCAAATTGTTTAAAAAGTACGGAGAAAAATACTAACATTTGAATCATCACAGACAAAATGTTTGACTACGAAAATATTGAAACCTCAAGGAACCAATGGGCAAGAGTCGGTATGTTATCACATTATGATCTCAGATTACAATACAATCGTGTTCATCCAGAGCATCAAATAAACGTACATGATTGGTGCTTCCTTCTCACCATATTGAGACAATCCATTCATCCGGAATATTTACGAACCCTAACCACTGCGGTATTGGAAGTTCAACAATTGCCACAGCTTCTGTTGGACAATAATATTGTTTTCCCAAATATCCCAAATATTTACAATAATATCGATATTGTAACTTCACTTGAGACTTGCATTGAGTGTTTATGGTTTTATACTCGGGATCCAGATTATGGATTGACACCTGGTGGCCCTTTTATCCGACGACGTTCCGGAATACTGCTCTATTACACTTTTCGAGAAATTGTTCGTATCGAGATGCAGTATATCATTGACAATATTCCCAATTTTACCAGGGGGGATTATGACAGTGTTCTACCCATTGTCAGCTCTGGTATTCGTGAACATATCGTCAATTTAATGCATCAAGTAATACCTAGCGACCCTTTGATACCATCACCCCGACAGTTGGAGAGAATACTTGAAATCCAAGGGAGATGGTATCAACTGAGTCAGCTGAACACCGACATCTATTCAGATTATACTCTGCCTTTATTGGTTTCACTTCTGGTACCCGATGATAAGCTTATTTCCTTGCCAATTAAACATTGGACATTTTTTATTGAAAGTCTTTCATCTCTATCACCGGTGATCACTCAGTGTGCAATGAAAGCAACAGAGATTCTCTACGGTGATTATGCCAATGAAGAGTTCATTCAGTCGGTAATGGAACGTAATCCAATTGGAGTTATGGATAATAGCGACGGAATATTGCTAAACCTACAAGATTTATCAATTTCCGTTCAAGTGCCAAATTCACGTGATATTATTGTGACACAGAGAGCTGATGTTACAAAAATTATCAGTGGAGATTTACTTGCTGTCATGGTATCGATTGTTATTAGAATGATGTAAGGATTTTTTGCACATTTCAGTAAAGATTATAGGAACTTGGACAATAGAAAGAAACGCGAATTTCTTGCATCGTTTGTTGACAACAAATTATATTGTTACCACTAAATCAATATCGATTTAATCAATCATTTACTACGAATTTTTTCATATTCTATTTGAAATTTTAATAATTTTATCAATATTTATATCCATGGTTTCATTTCTTGTCACTATGTTTCCGATTCGTTAATGAAATTACTGAATTATATAATCATCTAATTTATTAGCTTCATATTTGCTTGTAAGCATAATATTCTAAATGAATAACTTGATATGCATGATACATATTTACGAACCAGCTGCTTTTTTCTTTAGTATGATATTCTTGTTCGGCATATCGTTTCAAGCAGCCGTGTTTTGATCATTTCCGAATAATCAATAATCTTTTCCTAATTTCTATTGTCCGGAATATAAGATATGCGATTGTTAATCCTGAATGGTTACTAAGGCAACTTTGGCGGATCACATCAAATTTGATACACTAAATCATAACGATAACCGCCTTCCTTACGACACTTTACCCTCTATCTCACCTCCCACCTACATAATACCTCAATACTTACCTCGACTTCTACGGCTGAGTGCATGCACACCCACCTCGATAGTTACCTGAACACCTACATTTATGTCAATTTGCTACCACTCTCAAAGTTTTGTTGACTATTAATTGCCCCCATTTTTCGATGACTGTACTAAAACTGTTACTTATACCATTTCTACACCTGTATCGGAATTAAACTGATTCCTGTTTGCCCTATTGTCTCTGTTGTATCTATGAATTACATGTAGCAAAAGGTGTTATTCGATAAAATACCAATTCAAAGGCATGGTTTTTTATATGCAATAATATATTCTTTACACTCATAAGCCAAAAAATGACAATCGCAACATTTTCAATACTTGTATTTTTTTAAAAATGAATTGAATAAGCGTTTGATCTTTGGAATATAAATGTTTCAAAGCCTATCAATAACAAATAATTAACTCATAAAACTGATGTCAATTTCAAAAACGATATGTCAATAGAACAAAAACAAAAAAATTCGGCAGGTAATTCATGAATCATATAAATGCTTCCAATCCTTCCAAGCAACGTTCCGTAACTCAAATCCGCTGAATTCATTCCATCGTACCATAAATTCTTTTCCAGAAAATAAGAGTTTCAAAGCCTATCTGTAACAAATAATCAACTCATAACACTGATTTCAATTTCGAAAACAATAAGGTAATAGAATAAAAACAAAGCAATTCGGCCGTTAATTCATAAATCATATAAATCCTTTGAATCCTTCCAAACAACGTTCCATACTTCAAATCAGCTGAATTCATTCCAAAATACTAGAAATTCTTTTCCATATCACTCTCTGTAATTGAAAATAAATAATCACTATCCCAGTCCGCATCACGTTCCAAATTTCCTTCAACGGCAGTTTCGGGTTGGTTTTCCTCTTGGACTGGACTATTGTTATCGTCAATATCAGAGCATGGGACCTAAACAACTGTAGCACGCCTCAAATCTTCGACCAGAAAGTCTGGCATGTTGACATCGTGGATTTCTCTATGAAGGTCAACAACCGAGCTTGGAATCATGGCTATAAAATATTTATCAGTATTAATTCTAGTACAATACAACGTATGGAAACATACTCAAGTCTGGCGTATTTTCGGCTTCAGAGTCTGGCCGATATGCTGGTGTGGCACCTCCGCCATCGGACATCCAGGATTCTTGTACATCAATATCATCCAACGCCAAATTCTCTTCAACATCAGTTGCAGTTGCAATGAGAGGCCGTCTAACTTCCAGCGCAAATCCCCTCGAACTGGTTGGTGATGGTTCATTAGGATCATGATTGACAGTAACCTTTCGGTGAGATTTGAGTCTCTCAGATGCTCGAATAGGGGCAATACCAGTTCTGAGTGTTGGTCTACGTCTTGGTACGATAGCAAATTGACTGGGGCCAGCGACCTCTATTTCTTCATGAGGAGGAACACTTTGAATCCGATTTCGTTCGTTGGTTGCCAAAGTTTTATATCTCTTGAAATCAGCCCCTTTCCTGCCAAATTGAGGAATCAGATTGATTCCTTCCTGAACGGTCATATCCTGTTCAAACTTAAGATATCTTTTATAACCATCCACCGCATGAAAGTCAACTGCAGGCATAAGCTCCCAATATTGGAATGGTTTTTCAATTCTGCCAGATGTCCTGAATGATTTGATGGAGTTTTCCAAGGATTTTGCGATATCCATTAGACGGGGACAGAGGTGATGAAGATTAGCGACAAAAAAGTGCCATACATGTAAAGGGAACTTTTGTGAAAATGTCAATTTTCCATCCGTTGGGAGGAGACAAATCATAGCAAGTGGACAAGAGCGTAGGTAGTCATCATCAAAAAAATAGTTCCATTTCTTGCCATCTTTCAACCAGTTCCTGAGAGTTGTCATCGTGGTCATTGTCGTACGTGTTTGCTCTTGGTAAAGTCGAAGTAGCTCATCATTGACCTTTTTTTGAATACGAGTATTTCGAGTTCGATCTGACTTATCGACGCGGATACGTTTAGTGGGTGGGGAATTTTCTGTGACCACCTTGACTTGCTCACGTTGTGCGATGAAGATATCAAGACAGCAAATCCGGTGCATGATTTGATCCAGCCGTCCTCTAGTTCCCAGGTTATTGAGCTCAAAAATGCGTTGAAGACAGATCAATTGAGAGGAATCAATTTGACTTTCGGTAGTTGGTCGCTGCAACCAGTTTGGCTGATTTGGTTTTCCGCCACGAGCATTGAAGAATACTTCCTGGAGTGCCAAAATATTCTCTGGCAACAAAGCTTGATATACCCATTCCAAGAGATTATCCCATTGCTTTGCTGTCAATCTTTTGGTGGGATCCTCTTCGTTATCATAAGACTGCAAAACTTTCAATTGACGCTCCCAACCACGATTCTTCCATTTTTCAACCATTGTACCCGTTGGGCGTTCAATGTCTTCCTCTTCCAATCCTTCTTCAGGCACTTCTGGGGGTTCTTCGCCACCAACTCTGTCTTCTTCATCAAACTTTTTGCAGAGCTTTTGATATTCAACCGAATAATGATGGTGGATACGATATGCTTGTTCACGATTGCACGAACCATAAGGGTCGTCAGGCAAATTAATGATATAATTGCCACGATATGCAATTTCGGTACTCGGAAGGAAATAGCTTCCGCCATCTCGTACCGGACGGGGTTGAGGAGTTTCTTGTTCAGAAGCTATTAGAGTGTTAGGAAACAGTTTTTTACCTGATCCAGAGATATTCAAACTTACAATCTTCGTCAGACGATCTCATGACCGGTTCTTCAACGTCAGGCATATAATTATCCTCAAGTACAGCCGAACGACCAACACGAGATAAAATCCGGTCCAAATTTGATTTTGGATTATCCGGGGGGCTTAACGTAGCAGGAGGGGATTGGGCTGACACTAAAAATACTTAATTAAAATTATTAGGGTCAAGAAATCAAGATCAACTTACTGTTTGTATGTCAGTAAACGTTTTAAGCTTTGTACTATCGTACGTTATAATTCAAGCTATCGTAGGAAACAATGTTAGTTTATCCATATTCCCGTACTCATTTTCATCAAAAAGTAAGTCAATAGCTCAAAAACTAAAGAAATTATGAACGGAAATACAATGGCTCTACCTGGTATACCATACCAGGTAGAGCCAGTACATTGGCTGAACCTAGTATGATTATACCATTCTAAATCAATAATAAAAATAAAATTCAATAATAATATACTTACTTCCAAATCAACCGGGAGTATGTAGAAGGGATGGAGAAGAAAAGAGATAAGTGAGTATGTAGGCAGTATTTATTCCATGAATTGTTGGATATATGATTTGTCATCATCGGAAGCTTTTTTTCTTTAGAATAGGAGAGTTTGCTTATGTAATCTTCATATTGGTACCTTATTTACTTGAATATAAATTTTCGAGATAAAGCAGTATCCCAGTGCCGTTTTTGTCTCATGTTCGATTATTGACATACCGGTTCGTTTGGTAATATTAAAGTTTGTGATGGCCATACTCCTTGGGTTATACCTAATCGGGTAGCTCAATAGAAACAAGTTACAAGTACCGCTATTGCCCAATATTGCTCGGTTTCGAAATCGGACACCTCAAATGTTGTCACGTGTGCGATGCCGCCAATCGTTTAGCTATGCCTAATTCGGTGATGTCACATTATGGCGTTACACGATTGCATTTTTATTCAATATTGCTCCGTTTCCAAATCGGATCCGTCGGTTGTTGTGACGTGTGCGATGCCGATACTCCTTTAGCTATGCCTAATTCGGTAATGTCACTTTACGGCGTTATACGGGTGTATTTTCATTCAATATTGCTCTATTTTAAGGTTGGATCCCTCTGTGATTGTGACGTTCGCGATGTGCCTATTACTTTCCAAATGCCTAGTTAGGTAAAGTTATATTCTAGCATTACACGGTTCCGTTTTACTCAATACCGCTATGTTCTGAAGTGATATCCATCACGGTTGTGACTTAGGCGGTGCGCTAACTCTATTACCTTCGCCTAATATGCTAAATTCACGTAATGGAGTTACATGTTGCCATTATTGTTCAATATTACACTTTTCACAAATAGTATCACTTTTATTTTTTCATTTTTTTGTTTCACTCATTTATTGAATGCAGGCCGTAGTCTATTGTAATACGACAACTCCAAAACTATCCTGCTAACTCCTGGCCACACCCACTAAAGGGTATTCAGCAAGCTTGCACTCCCCCGCCGCCTCCACCTAACTAAATGAAAGAAAAATAAAATAACAAGGCTCCGCTTATGTCACACACTGTTCACAACAATTTGGATCTTTCTTCTTACTCTCCCAATTCCTTCGGGTAACCAACCAAGTATTTTTTGTAGTAAACCTTTATATTGCCAAACAATTGACGAATTGCTTTCATCCATGCCATGGCTCTTCAAACTGAAACACATGGAGGGCCGGAACCACTTGAGTCGGAACCGAATCCATTGCGCTTGGAACTACTAGCATCCAACGAATAGAAATTCATAGTGGGTAGAGATGACTCCAGATTAGATTATATAAAATTGACATCTAAATAGATCCCTAATGATTCTGTCGCTCAAAGTAATGCCCCAACTCCCCTGCCCAACTCCTCTGTCCAACTGCTCAAGCCTTTTGACCTGTTTAACCTCTACAACTTGCGTGACCTGTTCGACCTTATGACATTCCGGCCAGACCGACTCAGGACCTCACTAACCAACGACCCTGCTACCAAACGACACCGCGACCTCACGACATCACGACCTCACGACCTCACGACTTCACGATGTCACGACATCACGACCTCACGACCTCAAGGCCTAACGAACTCACGACCTACCGACCTCGTTACCCAGTGATCTGTATGTACCTGTTAGTCAACGTTTATAGATTATTAAAACAGTTATCTCTACTTATTGTCAAACTGCAGGTGCTGCTCGGCAGGTTCCCTTGTTATTACCAGCGCTTATGACAAACATTACACTGTTGAGTGGCATGATTTCGAATTTCAGGGAGACCGCCTGCACTTACCCAATTTTGCGATTAAAAAAAGGAACTAAAATGCATTTATATAATTTTATCCAATGAGTAACAGAGAATAAAAATACTATAAATACCTAATTTTGATTTTGATAACCCTTGTATACCATATCAGGCTGAGGCAATTAACCCTCTGTAGTCCGTATAGGTTTTGAATCAAGAAATGATACCAAAATGGCTCAGCCTAGTATGGCATACCAGGCTGAGCCAATATTTTTTATTCCAGTCTCTATTATTAACGGTTTTTTTTTCCAACTAAACTACTTATATATAGGGCTTCGTATCCCCTTCGAAATTTAGAGATCAACCTCTTCCTTATACAGAGTTGTTCTTGTTTGGAATCACAAATTCTCAATTTTGCATACAAATCCTTATAAGAATTGCTAGAAATCGTCAGTACAAAGATCACTTTGATTGTACAATTGATATTGCGTAAAAGGTGAATAGTATTTCAAGGTTTTGAATTTTCAATCAAACGGATATGGCTAATATTTCAGTGCAGTGCTGTAGTTATGGCTGCCAATCTGCAACACTATCAAGCGGTACGATCGGAAGGTACCAACGCTGAACTTGCGGACTGCATTCACAATACTTTCAATGCGATAATATCGTGTCCCCAATGCTTGAGAGTTGGCAGTAATGGTACTTTTAGAAAGAGCAGTGCGGGAAATATGAACTCAAAAGGTCAACGATATAGAAGATTTGTTTGCAAATGTGGGGAACTTTTGAGCTCATTTGCGAACCAATCATCTGTACGAAAATATTGCACCAAAACACTTAGTACAACTGACTTTATCGAACATTGTCGTCAATTTCCATTGATTGGAAATGAAATAATTGATATAATGCAAAGGGAAATACTCAATAAAGCAAAAGAAGATTTTCAATCGACTGGATTTTCTCCCAGCAAAAAACGTATCGGTGTTGAAATAAATGAGTCTCAACCAAAGCCAAAACGCAGAAATAAGGACTCATTACCTCCTCGATTGGCAGCAACTGATGATAAAACTGACAAAACGGTTTTACTATCCGAACATGACGAGATGAGAGACTTAAAAACAGAGATTATCAATATCCAATTACAACTGCAACAATTATTGGAAAGGCTAGAAACAATGGAGACTAACAAATCCAATGTCAAAATATGCAAACTGACAAGTATAGCAACTGGTAAGTAACTATCTCTTGTTGTCCTTTACTTTGATTTTGATCTGAAAAGATCGCTAACGAATTGAATAGAACTACCACATCTTTCTGTACCGAAAATTGATTCACAGTTATCAACGTCATCATCATTCAAGCATCAAAGGGAGCGTCGAGTACCTACTGTAGCAAATTTCAGTAGGCAACAAAAACTACCAGAAAATATTATACCAACATGCGACCATATATATATAAATGGTTTTGTTCGGGGATCATACAGTTCAACAAAAACATTTTTGAAATCATCATGCAAAGTTCAGTTGCGAAAGATATTGAATTTAAGTTGGATCAATAATGATATTCTGGAAATTGTTGTTCTCTCACCTTATACCACAAAATTGAAAGAAAAAATTTCAATTATATCTTCCTTATCGGTATTAGAGAACTTTGATCCATTGAATCCAAAATCCTATAACCCTGATATTGAGCAGTCCAATGTCAAATACGATGCTATGAGGAAATCATTAAGGCGTGCAATGATCAAACGTCTCGCTCACTCCTCAAATAATTCAAGCAATTCTAAAACGAAAGACTATATAAGAGATTGGATAGGAAAACGTGGATGGTCCAATGAATTCAAAGTTCAATTGACAAAATCCAGAAATTCATATGCGAATGCTCCTGGTATGCTTTCCTCGATATTAGTTTCTATATCTAAAAGCTGTTCGCTTTGATTTTTAATATGCTAATATGGTTTAGGGTCTAATGTTTTCAGTGAATCGAAATCTAGTTTTGAATTCGAAGAATCGATGGAATTATGAGTACCACAATGAAAATTGGTTATGTGAATGTCCATTCTTTACAGGACAGAAAGTTTTATCACATACTTAAAATGTTAGAACATGATTATGATTTTTTGTTTTTAGCCGAGCATTGGTATACCAATCATAGTAGTAGAATGTCCAATCCAGCGGTGATTGGAACAACAATTTTACCTATATCGACAATCTCAGAAAAGAAGAAAGGGAGGTTTAGCGGTGGTATATATTTGTTAGCTTCACAATGGTGGCGAAACAAGGTTCTAAAGGTGGAAGGTACGCAGCATACTTTGATAGCATGGTTAGAAGGTGTAACATTTGCTGGAGTTTACTTTCCTCCCACGACAATGAACGCTTCAGACGTTCAAATCCAACTAGCAGCGTTACCTGTAATTGATATATTACTAGGCGATATCAATATTCGATTTGGGGATCAGAAAAAAGTTGGACCATTGGATAAATTGAAGGTTATACAGGACTGGGAATCAGTGGCGGGATTGTCTAGAATGAGACCGGATGGCAAAGCGCTGGAACTTGGCACAGATCATGCATTCATTAAAAACCGATTATACAATCAAAACCCACAACTGTCGCTTGAATCTACAGCAATAGCTGGTATTCATACCGATCACAAGTATATTCTTAAATTATGTCTCAAGAATTATTCCGGTTCTGCATTCAAGTCTGAGCACAATTACCATCATATTTATCGCTATCGAGTAAACAAGCTTATGAAGAAAACACCGTCATATTCAAACATCAATATCACTTCTACAGATTGTCGTTTACTTCCTTCGAAACAGAAGGAGTTCTCTGATTGTTACAAAATGATTGACGACCTTGTTCGTCTAGAGAAAGATTCTGCCACAGATAGCAAAGATATAGATTTATTGGATGTTATTTTGATGACCAAGGTCCAAACTGCATCTGAAGTAGTATTGGGAACTATTTCACCTTATCAGGAAAGACTCTGTCCAGATAAATATGTTAAGCATTTGGTCGGTTCCAACGATTGTGGTTCAACAGTTAGTCTCTTTAAACGATTACAACGATGTTCATCGAAATCGAGAATAATGAGTTCGGACAACAATTCAGTTACAGTAATGCATGACCTGGAAAACAAATATTCAAAGGTTTATGACAGCCAAAGTATAACCCGGAATACCTATATCAGACATTTCCCATCCGTCAACGATAGATTATATCAAGACTATTTATTGCGATTGGTGACCGTTGATAAAATTAAGGAATTTGTTGCAAAGTTTTCAACAACGAAAGCATGCGGGGAGGATGGAATTCATATTTTACAGATTAAGAATTTGATTGAAACCGAATTCATTACAGATTTATCATTTCTCTATCAAATGTGTATAGAAACGTTTTCAACTCCTGAACGCTGGAATAGTTCGATCCTATATCCATTACAAAAAAACTCCACGAAGCCTTATACACCATCAAATACAAGACCTATTTCTATTCTTGTAATGTTTAGACGGATATTTGAGAGTCTAATTTTACCAATATTCGAAGATTCGATATGGGATTTCAATCAAATGAATCCTTGTCAGGGTGGTTTTCGGTCTGGTTATTCAACTCAAACTCATGCTTTAATCCTCAACCATAGCCTTGCTTCAGGAAAACGACCTCTGACGGTCTTTTTGGATTTTGAAGCTGCATTTGATAAAGTTAGTAAAGAATTGTTGGTGTAAGAGTTAATTGATAATGGAATGCCTCAATATCTCATCTGTCTACTCATCAGCCTTCTTTTTCAGTCAATGTCATATCATATAGTTGTGAATGGTACCGCGTCAAAGAAGCTTGATCGAAATATCGGCTTGCCACAGGGTTCACCACTCTCACCGGTTATTTTCAAAAAATTCATCAACTCGCTTGTTTCTGAACTGAATCCCACAATTGTTACGAAAGATCAATTACCTTCAGCTCTATTTTTTGCGGATGACTGCGTTTTGCTTGCCACTGATTGGGGTCATGCAACCGCAATGTTAGAAATATGTGAGAGATGGGCCAACAATCATGCAATGAAATTCAATGTCTCAAAGTGTGGTGTAATTGATAAACTGGATCTTCAAAAAGAACAAACCATTCAATTATGTCTCTACGGAGTACCGATACCTATCGTGACTACATATGGTTATTTGGGGTTTCCTATAGGGTGTGATGGAATTGATTTTGAAAGGCATCGGGATAATCTCATTGAAAAAACAATGAGATTAAAAGGATTTCTTCAGTTCCATTCAGATTCTTGGACACCGCGTGTTCGACTCAATATGTACAAAATATATCTTATGCCAACAATGGAATATGGCGTTGAACTATTTGACTCATATATGAAATCAAAAAGGAAAAGTACCTTTCTCAAACCTTTGGAAAAGGTTTGGGATAGTTGTATGATTTGGGTAGCTGGTGGGCGTTCAAAAAGGCCAAAACTGTTCGGAAACCTGTGTGGAGTACTTGAATATCGAAAGCGTCTACAACATCTTCGTTGCAGCTTCCAATTACATTTAGAACTTATGAACGAAAGCAATCCATTAAAGACAGTAATTAAACAATTACCTAAAAGAAAAAGGAAGAAGCTTCTAATTGGTTATTTGCGGAATGATAAATTGTATGATCGGTTCATAACGGAGGAGAATGCATTTTTATTACCACGTCAACCTTCCAAAATACGACTACGCTCTTTTCTTCTTCGAGATAAAACTGGCAATATAATCTACAGGAATGAAAAAATGAGTAAACTATTGGCAATTGTTGAACCTCATTCACGTCTGAAGGGTTTGGATATGATCGATGTTTTAGGTGAGTATTTCATATTACAAACTTTTAGTATGAATGCTAATAGTATTTGTAGCAATTGACGATCCGAAGATGCAAAAAGATTTATGGGATTGGCGAAGAGGTATCTTTGGTTGGGGTAAAAAGTGTATTTGCGGAATAAGATTTGATCGAGGGCATGTTCAATGTATGGAAAAACTAGGATTATTTGACGGTATTCTAAGCGTATCAGAAACGGATTTCATGGAGCTTGATAAAGCTTTACTTCCACTATCAACAAAATATACTATTATCGATTATTTACTCAACATTGGAGGTCACAACCGTGCATATCAAATATTGGTTAAGTGGAATAAAATATTATCCGAACATTTTCTTAATGAATTAGCATTACCTTGAATTTCTATATTTACTTATATCACAATTGATTTTATCTGGCTTGTATACTAGTATCTATTTATAATATAAGTCTCGGAAAATCAATGGGGTGGTGTGGTGGTCTGGGGCCGCTATAGTTTGGTTTTAGATATTTTTGGATTTGGATTGTGCGAAGAAAGTATGATAACTGGATGGAGCAACTAACTTGGTAATTTAGGTTAAGATCTTTTCGTTGGCCCTTAGCCTTTGACATACTCTTCCTATTTTCCAACTATTGTTTTCTCTGGATTCCTTTTTTGATTACCATTCGTTATTCAATTCTCCAATCTGTTCTATACTTTACTCCGCTGTACATGCTATTGATGATGCATGTATTTAAATCCTTTCATCCCCGCTGAGTGGTTAGTTTAGCAGCTTATACCGTAGATTATGTCTATCGTATTTGTAATTAGTCTAGTAACTATCTCCCTAGCTAGAGTCGAATAAAAAAACACTTAATCACTAACCCTAACTAACTCGCCCAACCTCGGAATCCTGTCCTGAGTTGCCCTATCATAAGGGTTTCTGTACAACTACAACCCGTTACAATCAAACCTTAATGGCCAAAATCACCTCAGGTATGCAAACTCATATCGGTGCTTCTGGACAATATCCGGCCTCATTCAGCTTCAGACCCCGAGTAATTCTCCTTGGAGCAGGCTGTGAAGCACACCTTCGGTAAGCCAGTAGACCGAAACCTGACTTTGAGAGACGGTGATGTCTTTTAGAAGAAAGGATGGTACATCCCAAATCACCGAGAGCTCAAACCAAAAATCATGAGCGCCCTACATGATTCGAAGCCCGCAAGCCACTTGGGTCAATTCAAAACTGCAGAGCATATTCGGGCACTGTTCTTTTGCCCAAAGAACGACAATGATATGGGAGAATACCTACGGAGTTGCGATACATGTCAAAGCAATAAAAGCTCCAGTCATGAAAAGTACAGGATGCTACCACATTTAGAGGTCCCCAATACACCTTGCAGCTCCATCTCGATGGACTTTTTCATCAGTATGCCAGAATCTGAGGCCTATACCCATATCGGGGTTATTGTTGAACGCTTTACCAAAATCACCAACTTCATACGGCTCAAGACCGAGGCAACAATCAAGGAATATGCCGACTACATGGACTATCCGAAGAAATCATTTCTGATCGGGACTTCAGATCCGAAAGCAATTTCTGGCATTCATTGATCAAGCTTTTCGGAGTCAAACCCTATATGTCTACGGCATATCGTCTTCAAGCTGACAGGTAAACTGAGAGGGTCAATCAAACGCTAGAGCAATATTTCAGAAACTTTTAGTCCTACCAGTAGGACGATTGGGCAGGGTTACTGCCGCTTGCATAGTACTCCTACAAAACGGCAACCCAATAGTCCACTAAAGTATCTCAGTTCTACGCGAACTATGGGTTCGAGCCTGATTCCGATTGGCATTCGCGCAGAAGGAAGCTGGACAATGCCAATGTTTCCAGTCCCGTACTAGAGTTCAAGTGGAAAGCTCTTTGGAAAACTATTAGGACTGATATTTTTAAGGCACAGGCCCGGCAGAAGAAATGGTATGACCAGAAGCATATGAAAGCTCCAGAACCTGAAGATGGGGATAAGGTGATGATGGACCGACGCAATATGGTTGCCAATCGACCCTCAAGCAAGCTTGACTACAAGAAACTATGTCTCTTTGAGGTTGATGAGAAACTTGTTGTTGCGTTCTACAGGCTGAAGCTTCCCTCTCAATGGAACATTCATGATGTCTTCCAAATATTTCTGCTGGAGTCCTATCGGGGACTGAGATACCCTCAACGCACTGAAGTCCCTCCTACTCCAGACGAGGTCGAAGGAGAATACAGTTACGCTCTCCAAGAAATAGCTAATAGCCGATGGCAACACGCTGGGCATTAGAAAATGTTTGCAGAGTATCGCATTGTTTGGGAGGGTTATCGTTCGGAAGACTCCTGGGAACCATACAAATTCTGCAAGGAAGTGCCGACGAGGCCATGAAAGAATTTCATCAAAAATACCCACAAAAACCTCGGAAAATACGGTGAAACTCTAGGGATACTCAAAACACGGCGTGAGTAGCTCTGTATCCCAGAAGAAATCCGGGAACAAAAACCAACTCTCCTGTACCAGGTTTTTCATCGGTCTGACAGAGTTCGGATACCATTTTTCCCTGAAAACTATGCAAGAAACGATAGGAAACCGAAGCGTGAGGAAATCCGCATAAAAAAGACAAGGGAAAAAGAGAGGTTCTTGCTAACATCGAAATCTCCACTAGTGGAACGGAAGGTTCTACGACAAGAGTGGAGAATATGTCATTTTCTTTGTTTTTAAAAGGCATTTCATGTTAGAGTTTTCTTTCTCTGATAGAGATAGAAACAGAGATGTAGTTTGTATGTAATCGCCAATAGAGCTACAGTTTTTCTTCTATGCCAAATACTAATATTCCAGTAACACTACAGTAGACTCAAAACGAGTCTACCATAGAGGAGAGTAATGTAACAGTGCCACTATGAGGCTGTTACAAAAGAACCTATTCCATCAGTTAAGCCACCGACCTTAAGTAATAGCAGCTTGTTCTTCATAGACGCGTGAAGACAAGGGCAGTTAGGCTCCTACCTTTAGTGGTATAGAGGACAGTGATCTCAATGAGTAAGAAGTCTTACAAGTCAAAAATAGGGGCCGAGTAAGCTTGGAATAGAAGAACAAAGATGGCTGATAGCACAGGGAACACCGGACGGCAGTTCCATACCTAGTCAGTCGAATCTTTCAGGTTTCATATATCTCCAACCGATGCTCAAATACCATGCTTTAGCATGACAGACATGATTCTGGCGGCGTCCCGGAGCTAATAGGAAATCTAATTCCAAAAACACGTTTTAATCCCCAACACTAACCTCCGGAGTGTCAAACTGTCGGAATGCTCCTGTTTTCCTCCGGAGCATCTTTGGGAACTGGGAGTGCGAATCAAGCTACTAAAGCAAAACTTCGGTTTACAAACACCCAAATCGGTTCTAATAAAGTTAGAATAAACAATTATTATCTGGTCGGCTGTTTCCAATAGTTCTTGAGATTCCAACTACAGATTTCGGCAAATTGCATGATTTGACTCGGACATAAGTTCATCCAAGGTGTCGTAGTTACTCTCCTCTCCCCAGATAGAAATAGTTGCTGTACCCCTGACTATTAATAGGTAGACTGTCAGTCGGAAAAAGAACTTGAGCAAATGCGCCGTATTCCTATAAGGGACTCGGTCTTGCCCCAGGTTGGCCTCTCATCATCAACGGATCTTTAATAGAGAGAAGACCGCTTAAAGTTATAATTTTCTAGACTTGAGAACGTTCAAACATACAAACTCCCTTTTCTTCTTTCTGAACGAGTATCATCAAAACTCGCTCTCTTTATTTACACTATTCGAGAGCAAATCACGGTTGTGCCTCATCATAGCACGTCAGTCACATGTTTTTATCGATCGTCACTGACATGGTCGCATATGCT